GTTACTGTCCCAGACAGAAAACGTTAGATTGATGCACCAGTTTTTTTCCAAATACCCATTCTACCCTTTTATAAATTATTTTACATACAAAATTACTGAAATAACCCCATTTTAACTTAACAAAAACATCTTTTAATGATCATCTCAGTAATTTTACATACAAAATTACTGAAATATGTTTCTTTGTTGAGTTAAAATGGGATTATTTCAGTAATTTTGTATGTAAAATAATTTATAAAAGGGTAGAATGAATATTTGAAAAAAAAAAAAAACGGATGCATCAATCTAACGTTTTCCATCTGGGATGGTGTAGGAAGGGAGGTTTTTTCGAATTTTTGAAAAATTCAGGAAAGATATTTGTTAAAGTAAAACTATAAAGGAGGTTTTTATAATTGTCAAAAACTTCAGGAGAGGTTTTTGTATTTTACCTTTTTTTTTAATTTTTTGCTAGCATCATGTGCAATCGTTGGGTAAAGTTTTATAGTTAATGTAATTGTTTGGGTAGTCATATGAGGCCCAGTCATATGAAGCCCATCATTTATTTGAAGTCCAAAACTCTAAACCGTTGCTTACAAAAACAAGTTAATATAAGATGACGATGATGATGAGTCATTTGCTTACAAATATATACTTTATCTGTGTAAGTGATTATGTTCTTGTGTTAATATAAGATGGACTCATCACCTAGTAAAGAAATCTAAGGTGACCCAGGCATTATTGTTTCAAGAAATAGATAACCACCGATAAAAAACTTCTATCCCCACACGTACGGCAGGTAAGAAAAACATAGGATTCGTGTTGGTTCAAAAGCCTTTCATTTGGAAAGTCAAGAATAAACGATAGAGTAGATGGATGGGACAGAACTAATCGAAGCCAGTCACTTCTTTCCACAAACGATCAACAAAGAATATGAACTTAATTAGTTCCCTTTCTAAATAAACTACATGGATATGTCACATCATATCTTGATCAGGTGGAAAAAATATAAGAGGGATTATCTAGTGAAGAGGCTACTGAACTGTTTTCAAAAGTAGTATAGTTGTTTTCAAAAGTCATTTTTTTGAAGTCATGATGAAATTTAAACCCTGAAATAACAGGGGTTTTCCACAGCGTGGATAGAATGGCAAACTATGCCCATTCATTCAACAGGAGATCCCTTGGTCAGCTCTAACCTATAGTTACACTTGGCTTGACTCTTTGAGCCTTCACAGTGTCAACTCAAGACCCACTATGTATTTTACTACTGCTCCAAATGATAGTAGTCCTTTTGAAACGGGAAACGGTCTTGGCACGCCCATTTTAGAGCTGTCAATCGGTCGGGTATGATTCAGGAGAGGAGAGGGTAGAGCCATGGTTTTTAAAACCGAACCAGTCAGGGGTCTAGTTACAAGGTCGAACCGTCATACCATTCAAATTGAATGGTTGGTCCGTTTTGATAAAAAAATTAATAAAATAAAAAACAGTCAAAATCGTTCGAACAGTTAATCGCCCGAGTCAGCGGTTTGCTGACCAAAATCAACGATTTTTTGAGAAATCCCAATTTTGAGGAAAAATGAAACCAATTACCTGACCGGTTCCCAGTTTTTCCTGTCCGACCGTCCAGTCCAATCCGGTTTTGAAAACCATGAGTAGAGCAGTCCCAAATTGATTATTAATCAATTTTATAAAAGAAACCCAGAACCAAACCAATTATTAATTGGGATAATTGGATCTCCACTGGATAAGATTTGGTTAATTACCTATGATAATAATTTGGAACATAATCTTAATAAAAATGGCAATAAATATTAAACTGTTTATATGTTGATAAAATAAGTGTTTTTAATCAAAGTTATCTTATTTAGTGTCTATGAAATTTACCCTTTTAGATATAAAACATAACAAAATAATAAGAATAGAAAGAGACTTTTATATATTATTTGTTGGAAAATTGGGTCTCTTAAAATTGGAGGAGAAGCTATGAGGCGTGTTTGAAGACAATATCTTTAAAACGTTATTTGCACAAACTCTGTTGAGTTACAAATAAATCCGTTTCTAAGATACAACAAAGCCTTAGACGATAATTAATCTGCAATCAGCAAAGTTAAAAATTCTTCGAAAAAACCTTCTGTTAGACAATAACATACCGGACTGAGAGAGACAAATTGATCCTAACCCAATTATTAATGGGGACACAAATCACAGAATCATATCAGAACTGACATAATTGATTCAGTCGTTTTGGTTCTATCAAATGAACCCAACACATTGATGGCTATACCCATTTTTGATAAAGAATGCATGCATGCCCCTAACCATAACTTGTAAAATTCAAAAGCACCCCTATATATTGACTTTTGTGATACAGATAGGGCTACAAGCCTACAAGTTAAATTGTCTGACTTTGAAGAATTTTAACTACATCGAACTTAAGTTAGGGTTTGGACCCATTGAAAATTTAACAAATTTCTAACCCAACTCCATCCAATTTTCACCCCTTGATCTCTTCACAGGGATGTGACCAGTTCATCAAAAATGGAATGCACCCTAATCACTCGTCTTTGAAATAATTAAACAGGGTGTGGAATATGCTTCCTCGACCACATGCAAGAGGGTGTAAACTTGCCTGGAAAGGAGGGTGGCACTCAGAAACAAGAATCTTGGCTGAAATATCAATGCCATGTTTGCTTTGAAAAGTTTTTGATAGAAAATAAGAGAATTGAACCAGAAAGTTGAGAGAAAAGTTGTTTTTTTTTTCTGCAGGGAATTTCCTTTGCCCTCCTGGACCTCCTCTCAAGACAAAACTTCTACTCTGCTATACCCCTCTCAAGAAGGCCCTTCTTCCAGGAATTTACACCAAAAACTTTCAATGGCTTCCGAGTACACCTACCAATTCAGGGGCCCCCCATGTTACGATCTCCATTTGACAGACCCACCAGTGTTCTTCTAGCATCAGACTGATTTTCTATCTCAGACCCGCTAGCACATCTGAAAAGGACTTGCTTAATTACACCCTGGTTTGGACTTTAGACTAGATATTTATAACTAGTCAGCCCAAAATTGGCCCACACGATGAATGACCCATCCAAGCTAGGGGTGTCAATAGGACCGGATATGAATCCATTACATGTAATGGGCCAGGTCCAATCCAATCCAATGAATACTTCCAACCATTTTAGACTAGTCCAGTTCAATGTTTGGATTGTCTATCCTGTTCTAATTTAGATTGGTTCCAATCAATTTTGGTCAATTTACACCTGTATTCTTGTCTTTTATTAATAGATTAGATATCCGATCAATCCGACCCAATCCAATATAAATCCATTGTGGATGGATAAGGTCTAATCCAATCCAAAAAAAAAAAAAAACTTTGGACCATATTAATTGTCAATTGGTCCAATTCAACATGTCTTATTGGTCAATCTAATCCGTCCAAATTGATTTTGATTTAGACAAATCTAACCTAAAACTGATGGATTGATACTCTTAATCCAAGCCCAGCCCATTTAATACTTGGATTTGGATGACGAACTCTACAAAGAAACATGACTCTGGCTTAAGGTCATAAATTGTACAGCTGGCAAAACTTTTCACACAAGCCCTTAAAAAGACAAACCCACAATGAAAAGGAAAGGAGGACCCATACCAGTTACGATTCAAGAAAGTTCAGCTGCCCAACACAGAAAGAAACATCAGTCAAAACTCACAACCTTCCAAACGTCTACCTTCACTGCATTTTTCTCCCCAACTCATCACCCCCTTTACTTACTGTTGGCCCAATCTAGAGAAAAAAAAGATGGAAACGACAACCCTCTTTCATTCTCAACTGTGATTTGTGAAAAGTTATTATAAGGAGAAAATTAGACACGAATGGACAGAAAGCACAGAAGTCAAAAAGTCATTTCTCTGGTAAGAAAAAATAAACCAAAGCCTCAGATCATTCAAGAAGAAATCAGACAAAAGAAGTGAGAGACATGAGCACGTTATATATATATATATATATCCAATCAAACAATCAAACAATAAAGAATGTCAGATTAGACCAGCACACCTTATGGATTAAGATAATGTACATTACATGCCGCCAACTTTTTGCATTTCCGGGTACAGGTTTAGTTTAGCCCATCCGAACCGGACTGGCTTAATCATATCTATTAGTATTATCTAATTATTATGATTTTTGGCGGGAGTTTAATTGGGAGTACTTATTTGAAAAATAAATGCTTATTCAATAAGTACTTAAAAATGAGTTATTCTAATAAGTGTTTATAAGCATTCCGTGAAAAATCACTTATTTTAAATAGGGCAGTATAGGGTTGGAGGTTGGTAAAGTCTCCCCCTAGGGGCTGTAAATCATTTTTTTATTGATACATTACAACACTTTTTTCAGCAACTATTTAATAACTCTTCTCCAAATGGTGGTGAGAGCCGATAGTATCATAGTAGGGCTTAAAACCACATTTATTCTGGGACTTACCCTGTTTACGTATCAACAGTAGCCACCACTCTGTGCTAGAAAGGAAATAAACACTTAAAAATAAGCCCAAATTTTGGGTTTTTCAAATAAACACTTATTGTTGGGTTTCAAATAAGCACTTATTGATGGGTCCAAAATAATTACTTATTTTCAAGCACAACCAAAGTTAGCCCTTAGTGTAGGAAGTGGGGGATGTAGACCCATGGACCCGGATTTGACTTGGCCGGCCCATTTACCCGACTCATTGATAATAAGAGATGCATCTCATGTCTATCAAACCAGACCCTTCCAAAACCAGCTGACACTGATGAACTGAAGTCTGGCCATTTGTGTTGTCCATGGAATATTTGAAGTTTGGAGATTTTCAAAGGAATTGTCAATTTATCATGTCACCAGATGTGAAATCAAACGGTTACAGTGAAGGGGGAACAAGAGTGTGCATGGCGTGTATGGTAGAGATACTACGCTATAACATAATTAATAAGAATGACCACAGAGTCTAGAAACTTTGTTCATCTGGTTCAGTGCTTCTCTCTCTCTCTATATATATAAGAATATGTGGGCCTAGTGCAGACGTTTCAACCATTTCTTCTTCGCAAGACAAAGGAGCCCTGCATTTCTCATGAACTGTGGAATCGTGTTGGGTTTCTATTGTTGGGGCTGGGAGTTCTTAACTGCCCTTCTTCTCTTCTCCTCTTTTGCAGAAACTCTTTCTCTTTCTCCTTCTTAGTACTGTTCTTTTTGAGGTTTTTGTTTCTTTGGTCAATTTGTTTTGTCTGCAACTAAAAGGAAATCACCATGTCTCAGCCAATTCCTGTGGAGCATGAGTGTGATAAGGATCTGTTAGAATATGTCAGGAAGTCCTCTCCACCACCCTTCTTGCTGAAAACTTACATGCTCGTCGAGGATCCGGCGACCGACGGCATAATTTCGTGGAACGCCGACGGGACGGCCTTCGTCGTTTGGCATCCAGCTGAGTTCGCAAGAGACCTCCTTCCAACCCTCTTCAAGCACAGCAACTTCTCGAGCTTTGTCCGACAACTCAATACTTATGTAAGCTACGCTGCAAACTCCTTGACCAACCCGCCAATATCGATGATATAGTTGCAGAGTAGATCAAAAGCAGAAGACTCTTTTGTTTTCTTCCCTGAATTAACAGAAACCATTAACAACTCACTTCTATAATTGTTTACAGGGGTTCCGGAAAGTGGTGACGAGCCGGTGGGAGTTCTACAATGGAATGTTCAGGAGGGGCCAAAGGGAGCTACTGTGTGAGATACGTCGAAAAAAAGCATGGGCAAGCAAGGTTCATCCTATTGCACCGATCCAAACTGTACCACAGGAGTCCGACGAAGAGCGAGGCTCGGCATCGACGTCTTCGTCGTCTGGTTACAGCAGCCTCTTCGATGAAAACAAGCGGCTGAAAAGGGAGAATAATATCTTAAACAGTGAACTGGTGAGAATGAAGAACAAGTGCAAGGAGCTTTTCGATTTGGTTGCTCATTACACGAGTTCGGAGAACATTGAAGAGGATGAAAGGCCCAAGCTGTTCGGAGTAAGGCTGGGGGTTCCAGTGGAGAAGAAGAGAAAAGAGAGCAGAGCTCAGTGAAAGAATCCTTGTCTTGTTGTCTCAATCCTGCAAATGAGACAATTATGCTGTAAAGATTGAAGCCGCTTGAATCAAGTGGCTCTAGACATTTTGATGATAGGCTATTGAATCTTTAGAGGCTAACTAGCTGCTACATGTATATATGCTTAAACAATTAATTTTAAAAAGAAAATTACTGTTCTCTCTTTATTATATATCTTCTGATTCTTCTCAGATGAACAAGGTTTTGGGACGCAGAAGAGAATGATTCATTATAGATGATGATGGACTGATCATCATTCCGACCTACTAACCAAACAATTGCATCAACCCAATTTGCTGATAATTTCTTGGATATATAATTTCATCTCCTTTTTTTTCCCTTTTTTACAGTTTACACTGTAAATGATGGAATGTTCAAACTGGATGAGAGAGAGAGGGGGGCATTATCTTCGTAGCCATGCATGCTCTAATCCGGCTGAGCCAGCCAAATTAGTAAAATCCACAAGATTTTTCTTTGCAAGGACTAGCTAGATAATTAGCGGTTTATGATCTTGTTATCATTATATTAGGGAAAGAATTTGTAAAGAATTGAGAAGAACCAAGATAGGATCATATCAACATGGGAGCTGACAGTAGATGTTAGAACAAATTGCAAGTTACGAAGGAAGAAATGATGAAATAATCAGACGCCAACTTTAATTTGATAGATAAATTTGAACATGACCAAAGACTAGACGATGGCAAAACAAGAGCAAGTCTATGGTCAATGAGGACCATTACAACGTGAGAATAACTGAATTTAGAAGCTGATAAGAAGAAAAAGACCGTGTTAAGCGGAACCTCAAATGGATCACATTAAATATCAATTTAGAAAAAAAAAATGTTATTATTTTAACCAATATTCAATGAATTGAATGTTTCCCCGAGATGATCGTTGGAGCCAAACAAAGAGACTAAAACATGCCGAAAGCAAAAATCATGTGAACACACTGAGAACAACACATCATCCAGCTGCACATCGGAAACATCTTCCCATGAATTTAACATATAAGTATAGACAATGTTCAGCTGCATGCCATGCTCTCAGAGTATTCGCAGCACGCCTTTTGCTTTCAGCAGATGCAGGCTTGTGAAACACCTACGGTTTAGAAAATATTTTGACATTTGCAGGAGCAAAATTGGACAAAGGGAGCCTGATTCAACTTGTGCGCTAATCATATTTGGGAAGGCCCTTGAACAGAAAACGAAACACATTCAGGCATTTAGCAATGTGATCCCCATGAGCATTAATCAACTTACAATTTCTAATGTGAGTCATGTTGCAGTAGCTGTCCGAAAGGCGATGAACATCCCATTTCAGTACATGCTTACTCCAGGCAAATAAAAAAATCCCATTACATCAATTAAGAACCAAGATGCTAGTAGCTATAACCTACGCCTACGCATATAGTAGATTATCAGTTTTCTTTTTCTTTTTCTTTTTTTGTCTAAGTTGTTGGCAACTAGCGGTTTTCGCATCTGGTTCTACTTTTCAATAAAAACTATTCATGTTTGAAAATGAAGATGAATTGAACTAGCCTAAGCCTTAGATGTTTTCCTTTGGACCAAGAGCCACAAGGACGGATGGTACTGCGAAAGTTGTTGGGAATTCGCATTTAATAGCAGACTTAGCAGTTGGTTCTTTTCATTCAAGAGTAATTATCTTATCCATGTTTGAAAATGAAGACGATGTGACCAAAGCCTTACCCATTTGATATTTCCTTGGTTCCTTCACCCCATTTAGAATGTCAATTTTTTCTGTTTCTTGAAGTCATCTTGCAATTGCAGAGGTTGTTTGAAATTTGACCAATTAATACAACATGTGATAGTCTTTTGTTTAGGTAGGTCATTAATTCTTGTGCCACCGAATTCCATAATTCTTGGGCGTGTCCAAAAATGCAGACTACTTGATTCTTATTTCATTCTTTCAACAAACACAAAAACATCTATTTCATTTTTATTGCAATTGATTCTAGTAAGAGAAACTGTGTTAGGATAGGACAAGAGGAAAGCAACTGGTAACAGAAAATACGGGGAAAGAAGTTTCACATCAATATGTGAAAATGAATTGAACAAGTTTACAAGCTAAAAGTTCATAAAAACACAATAACAAATGGCAACATTTCTGGTCTATTTGAAGTAACCCTTAACCTTCAAATGCAAATCCCTTTTCCCGGAGAAAATTTCATCATTTTACAGCAGTCTCATTTGTTCATCAGCCAATAAATAAACCAGAAAAAAGTTAAAAGAGATTAGTTGCATGAATCCATCCCCACCTTAGCATTATCCACTTGCAACAAGAACAAGAGAAAATTGGTTTTAAATTGATTTTGCTACTGTTTCTTCTCGGTGGACCCACCATTTTCAACTTTGTTGTCAAACCCATGATAAGGAACTTCAATCATGGGTCTGGGTATTGGACGGCCATCAAACTCCTGGGGAAAGAACTCAAAATCAGGGCCAAAATTAAACTTGACCACACAATTAGGTTGGTTGGGGAGTGTATACATCGAAGCAGCAGGGTAGTAGCATCCTCCGTGAAGATCATTGAAAGCAACACCTTGGCATACCCCGTTCTTAAAGAAAGATATCTCACTTCCTGTACAGCAGAAAAAGATATATTTTAAAGAAAGAACATCCAAATTAAGCCACTAAAATCAGTTAAATCCATTATTCAGCAACTTTGAGAGGACAAGTCCTAAGTAGGAATAAGTTCAACAATCCTCACCAATTATTGGGAAACTTTCTGCAAAGACCTTTCCCTGGTGTGAATGTGAAGAAAGCAGGTACCATTGCAGTGGCAGCAAGGTACCTCAGCAATATAGACCAGAAACAGGTTTTCCTCTACCCTTCTTTTGGTAGGTGAACACCCAGAGCAGATTGGTTGATCCCAATTATGCCATAAGATCAAAATCTTGTCCTTTAATGAGATGAATTCTGTTATTGGTCAAAAAAAAAATCTACTCATACCAACCAGACCAGGCTGACCCCAGCACAAGGCACTGTGACTCATAGGAACACCACATCTTGGCATTACATTTAGGGAACTTCATAAATGAAGTCAATCCCGGGTCCAAACTCAAGAAATGTTGCATGGGAATGGATGCCACAATGACCTGGCTAAAGGTGTATTGGCTAGGTTTTCCCCTACCTAGTAGAGAGAATTTCATGCATCATAGATTTCAATATAAAATATCACATTGTCCACAGTTTTTAGGTCTTAACTGAACTGCTCGCATAGCACAAAAAGGATGAACATGAACTATCCCACACCAAATGTGACCAGAAACCATAGCACTTTCTTTCATAAGGCCCACAGCAGGTTTGCACAAGATTGAAAATTGAAATTCCCTAGTGCCATGCCATACATAATTCACCTACTACTGAATCGCTAGAAAGCAAACACCACATAAAATGTCAGAAATCATTGGGCATAGAATTTTCCCACAAGTACAGAAACTGAAGGCAAAATGGTATGGAATTCATGCACAAGTGAACAATGAGGCTTCCAATAGTCATGTCTGGGAACACCATAGCTCCAAGAAAATTGCTGTTGAGTACATCTAAAAGATCTAGTATATTTGGAGCTCTAGAGAATTCTTCACGGGGAACTCTCAACCTTGGGATCTATAATAGAAAACAAGAAATTTTGATCAGATTGACTAATATTTGGTTTTATGGCATGGGGGTGGGGGGACACCCCACCAACAGAGTGAAAGAGATAATTTTGAGACAAAATGGACAGATTGCATGAGTTTGAAGAAGATGGGATGATTAGGGATGGGGATATCTATTATCAAGAGGAAACAAATGATGACTTAAGCCATTGGCAATGGCAATGCTAAAAATGGGGCAGAGGAATAAAATAAATGTTGAGAAATAGACAGAGGTAGAGTTTTATCAGCTCGTCCTCTTCCCAATCAGGCTTGAATTGGAATCTGGGCTTTACTGAAATCTTGAGAGTCGGAAATTCCCAGTGTTTCTGCTTTGCTTAGCATGTTGAATTCAGTGATCTAAGGGGGTGGTGGTTCAGATTCCAAAGTGTGGGCACTTAATCATTTTGGTGTTTATTCTTGCAAATCAGTGTTTTAAAAGCACAAGGCGCAAAAAAGTTGCAAGGGCCAACTTGCACCCGAGGTGAGAGGCGCAAGGCAAGGCGCACGCCTTTTTGAAGCAAGGCGCAAAAACACCAAAAAAAAACTTGCTAAAAAAATCAAAAAATGCAAAAATAAATAAAAAAATAGTAAACATAATATTAATAAGAAATACAAACTTAATTTTTAAAATTAATGGTTTTAAAAAACCTATTATCTAAAATTAAAATACATAAACATAACATGTAAAGCATATTTAAATGAAAATTTAAAAATAAAATCAAACATATAAAACATTTTCAAGCATGTAAAGCCCACAATCCCTCTTTTCTTCAATTGCATTACTTCAAGTAGCTAATGTGATGTAAAACATATTACATTCCTAATTCTATGAGTTGCCTTTGTGCCACGCCTCTCGAGGTAAGCCCAAACAAGATGTTAGGGTCTTAAATTCTTTTTTCTCACACAAAAATAATGATTTTATAATTTTATTTGCCTTTTAAGAAGATATTTTATTAAGATGAATGAATGAACAACATTAGCAAATAGGGGAGATGCACTAGGTTCAAAAAAAACCCAGCCCAGCTGCTAGGTTCAAAAAAAGGCGAAAAAGCATACAATTTTCAAAAGGCGCCCGCCTAGGCCAAGGCATAAGGCGCATCAGGCACACCTAGGACCTGGGTGAGGCACCTACCATAAAATGTGCCTCGCTTGTGTGCCTAGGCATGCCTTTTAAATCACTGTTGCAAATCCTTTTTAAACTCTCTTGTTGCTACCTCCCAGCCTCAATCTTTCCATGTTATGGAAGTGTGGTCCCGGCCTATTCCTCCAATGGTCAATGCTCTCTGTTGGGAAGCGTTCCACGGTTCTATTAATACATGTGATCTGCTCCAAAGAAAGAGACCAAACTGGTGCTTGTCCCCTAACTGGTGCTCCTTATGTAAGTTGCATGGTGAGACTGCTTTTCATCTTCTAATCTCCTGTCCTTTTTCTATCTCTATTTGGGAGTTTTTTTTTTGTCTCTTTTTTGTTGCAGGTGGCTCTCTCCTGATAGTTTGGAAGGATTATTTAACTCTAATCTATTTAGTTGCTCTAAAAGAAGAGGCAGGATTTTGGGGAGATGCACTAGAGCAGCAGTGATATGGACAATTTTGGAAGAAAGGAACTTAAGAATCTTTGAAGACAAACACATTGGGTGAAAACCTTAAGGCTTTTTGCAGTCTTTAAAGTTGAAAAATTTTTAGCTCATGGGGATCAATTGCTCACTCATCATCTAGAAGACAAAAAACAACTGAGGTTTGGTCACCTCCATGTGCTGGATGGAAGAAATTAAATTTTGATGGCAGCTGCATGGACAATCCTGAACCTTCGGGTATTGGTGGGGTCATCAAGGAGGAAAATGGAAATATTGTCGCTATGTTTTTGGGATCTATTCAGCATGGAGATGTGGTGAAATCAGAACTGTTGGCAGCTGTATATGGGGTGGAGAAAGGTAAAGAATTAGGGATCGACAAATTAATTATTGAAGATGATTCCAAATATGTTGTGGACTGGCTGAAAAGGGGGGAAGAAGTAATATGGCAGTTAAAGAATGAATTCAGACGTTTCAAGCAGGTTTCTAAGGAATAAGGATATGATAATCCAAGTGAAGTGGATTAGAAGATCTGCAAATAGTGTGGCAGATGGGGCTAGCTAAACGTGGAATTCAGAGACAGTCCATGTTTTGGGCTGTTTTGTAAATATTGAAAGTGGCTTTGGGCTTAATCTTTGCCACAACTCCTTTTGTACTCCTTTTTATAATTAATAATAAATTTTTCTTGTGTTGCTGATCAAAAAAAAAAAAAAAAAAAAAAACGACAGAGGTAGAGAATGCAGGAGAGGTGAAATGTGTGTGTGTGTGTGTGAGCACGTGTGCATCAGGGTGGGGGGTCATTGGTGGATTGAGCAAGAAATATGAGTATCTAAACAACACACAGGGAGTTAGGATAAAACATGTCTAATCCTAAACATGACTTTGCCTGTTTTGGGTTCTTTTCTTGGATAAAAATGTATTTGGCTACTGTGTAGTGATAAATTTGCAATTACAGAGTCGTCCACAAATATCTACAACTATTCAATGAGTTCAATTGGCTCCTCTATACAGAATTAGATAAGAAATGTGTACCCTTGACTAGGTACAAAGATAACCTAATAAAGCTAATTTCTAGAATCATCTCTTCTAAAACTCTCAGCTAGGAAATAGATAATGATAGTTCTAGACCCAAAGTCATTATTGTTCTTGAAAAACTCTTCTAATCCATGATGGACCTGGGTTGCTAAGGATGAATCAAGAAAAATATAGCACAATGGATGGAAACTGTGTCCTTGTACTGAACTTTTATCTAATGGAGCTTTGCATTCACACATCAATATGTACATAAACATGAGTGCCGATCATCTTATCTGGCCCTATAGCAGGACCTAAGATACCTATGATTATAAAACTACTTAATAGAAGACTAAATGTTTCATGACTGAACAAATTTCATTTGGTAAGCAACAATCAATAATATAGAATCTATTTTAGACATCGCCATAAAAACTTAATAAAGTGGAAGAAGAAAACGTGTCCAAACCTTGTCACATGCCCTTTATCTTAGCTGAGTTTCTCAGACATTACAAGGTTTCTTTATTATTTAAGAAGAAAGGAAAGCAATGAGAAGGTTATCAACATTAATAGTGATCTCTTCGGCCTTCACAGCCCCTGGAAAGGGACTTTCTATGGGATGGGGGAGGCAAGAAAAGAAATCACTTGGTGAAGTGGGAAGAAGTCTGCAAATCAAAGAAGGGAGGATTGGGGCTAGGTCATATTCTAGAAAGAAATTATGCTCTCCTAGGGAAGTGGCTGTGGAGATTCCCTTTGGAACAATCTTCTCTTTGGGCTACTGTTATCAGATGCAAGTATGGAAGGAGCAGGAATGGATGGGACTCCGATCAGGTCTCTTCTCGTTTCTCTCTTCGCAGCCCCTGGAAAGGTATCTCTTCCCTCCTTGATCTGTTTTCTCCTTTTTTACGTTTTAGACTAGACAGTGGCTCTAGTATCAAGTTCTGGACTGATCTGTGGTTGGGCCAGCAACCTCTCTGCTTTTCTTACCCTCTCCTTTTTAGTCTTACCCGTGAAAAACAGGCCTCTGGCTCTTCAGTTATCTTCAGAGGAGACAATGGTCTCTCTTTTAATTTTAACTTCCGGAGAGCCTTGACAGATTCCGAAACTCAAGATATCTCTTCCTTGCTGTCCTCTCTTTTAGTTGTCTTCCCCTCCCATTTGACTCAGGACAAAAGAATCTGGGAGCCTTCTCCGGATGGCTTGTTCTCCACTAAATCCTTCTACAGTGTGTTGACTTCTGGGACTACTAACCCCCTTCCCCGCATAGAAAGATTTGGCTTTCTGCTGTTCCCCCAAGAGTGTGCTTCTTTGTTTGGGAGGCTTATTCTAGCAGCATTAATACTTGTGGTATGATCCTAAGAAAGAGAAAAGGAAACCTTTATATTGCTCCTCATATCTGTGTTATGTGCATGAAAGATGGGAAGTCATGTGGTCACCTCCATATAAATTGTGAAGTAGCCAGAAGCCAAGGGCGGAGCTAGGGGGGACCCAGGGGAGCCATGGCCCCCCTATGGTCCAGAATTCTTCACTTGGAATAGAGTTTTCCATGTAAAATCCCCCCTCCCAAACTCCCCACCTCAATGGTTGCCCCCCCCCATGGGTCCATTCATACTTATTCCCCCCCACCTCCCCCTTTCCACTTTAGGTTTTGGCCCACCTCATAAAAAATTTCTGGCTCCGCCCCTGCCAGAAGCCTGTGGCAATTCTTTTGGACACCTTCTATAGAGATAGTTTTCACTGGACCAATTCTGTGTCTGACCTTCTCTTACAATGGCCTGGATGTACCTCAAGTAAAAGAGGTGCTCTCTACGGAAAGGTGATCATCCATGCAGTTTGCTGGTGTATTTGGGAGGAATGCAACAAAAGAATTTTTGAAGATAAGTATTCTCCCCTGGATGAGCTAAAAGGAAGGGTGCTTTTTCGAATTAACTTTTGGATGAAGGTGTCCAGTATGTTCAGAGGCATCTCAATGGGAGACCTAGAAAGAAACTTGGGGCTGATTCTGAGTTCTTCAAGTTTAGAAAGAGTTCTCACTTTTCCTGTGACCCCCAGACCTACAGACTTCATCCTCCAGTTTGATGGCAGCTGCTATAGTAGACTTAATCACAGAGGTCAGGCTGGTAATAGGTGGTAGAATTTTCACGTCTCTAGGCACTCAAGTTTGGGCCTACAGTGGTCCCATTGGAGAGGCTGGAGCTGTTGAAGCTGAGGTACAGGCCTTGCTGACGGGGCTGAGATGTGTAAAATCCTTGAACATCTCTTCGGTGTGTTGAAAGCTGATTCAAAGGTGGTCATAAGTTGGATGCTAAATCAGCAGGAGGGGCCTTGGAGATTCTCTCATCAGATCAATGAAATCAGGGCTATTCAATCTCAGATCCACTGTGTCTTCAGGTGGATTCCAAGGAATTTGAACTCAGTAGCAGATGCTCATGCGAAATCTGGGGTGGGCAGGGACTTTTTGTACAGCAATATAGAGATTCCTCTTTAATGGGTTGGGAAGGTTCTTTGTTTCGTTTTTTGTTTTGCTTCTGATTGATCATTCTCATATACATCTTGTATATCCTTTCCTCTTTTAATGAAAGTTTCCTTTTTCTCAAAAAAAATAAAACATTAATACTGAGCTCTTGCATAAAGAACAGAATGGTATAGGATCATTTAGATTCCACCAATCCAAAAATTGTTGTGGAGAGTCTTCTAACAAGGGAGCTGCAAGGAAAGGTTCTTTAAGACACTTGAGGGAAGAGATTAGATCTGATCATGCACTTGCCAAGGATTCTAAATAATTTTGGAGCCAACTGACTTGGTCAATGAAATACAGTGTCTAAGCCTTCAACCAACAAAGGAACATCCCTCATCCAACCAACATATGGGAATCACACTCAAGACCTCAACCACAATCCTTGTGAAGCCCAAAGAGAAGAAAACCTGAGTCAAAGTCCTTGACAAAGGCCAATATCCCAACAATATCCTCTTATAGCTTTTATAATAAATGTCAAAAGAATAAAGAATATAAGGTCATTGAAATGATTGCAGTTCTGGAATGAAAGTAAAGGCAAAATCACAAGCATTGGAGGTAATTCCCATCTCCAAAGGAAGTAGGTACTTAGTTAATAAGGGAACAAACTCAATCTAGATAGTGTAGGGTTCTCCAAAGGACTAATAAAAAAGATTTTCACTCTATTACAATAAGGAACCCTCTTCTGAAGCCAGGTCAAACTTATGCTAATTTTGACCATGCAAAACTTTAACTCCTGTTAAAATTAATAATCTTTACCGTCAGAGACAAGAAGGTAAGATTCATGGGAAGATTGAATATGAAAAGACCATCTGGTTGGGTTAGTCTTCAATGAAGACTGGTTGTGACTTTTTTGGGTCCTTCTGTGCTATTTTTGTACTGTTTTTTGTACCTGTAACTGGCTTCTTTGATTTTTAATAGAAGCCATTTTACTGACGAAAAAGAAAAAGTTTCATAGGGTTTTGTGACTTCTGTCATTGATAGAGCTGAGAAGGATCCAAGGCCAAGGTAGTTGTAACAACAAAGTTTTTGTTAACAGCTAAGAACAAGCATTGACCTTCCAAACACCCTATTTCACCGTTGCAGTGGGCCTTAACACCTGTACCTATGACAAAGATCATCATGGAATATAATAATCTCTTTAAGATGTTCAGTAAAAATAATACACGTGACACCTACACTTCCATCTTTTTAACTCTTGCAGGCCCCTCTGGAAACCAAAGTACAAAGATAAATCCAAAACAAATAAGGAAAGCAACTCGATATAGTGTTTCCCTCATGATTATAAATGAAAAAGAACCTATGGAAATGCTGAAACAGGGCAGTCTAACTCTAACCCAACAAAATGCCCTTTGAGAACCTTATTCTTTCTCATCTATCCACATCATATTTGATGTAACAAGAAAAAGTAGGGCCAAAAGGCCATTACCCGATATTGGTCCCAGATATCTGGGGTCTTGGAGAGGTAGACTGGAAAAGGCAGGGGCAGATCATAATGTTTCCAAGCAACAGGATATCATTTCCAAAGCCACTAATTTCTTTCTGCACTGTTTCAAATCCAAATACCAGAATGTTAAATATCAAAGGGTCAATCCAAAAGGGAAAATTATGCAGCCTTGGAGTAAGATACGCAGATAAGCAATTTTGGAACGGGGAGAAGCTTATGGGGCTGACATGGTTCCAATGGGAAACCCAGATAGTACCTTTCAACTGAGTTATCTAGATTGTTAAAATTTATAGAGACTAATTTATCAAATAGAGTTGTAGGGAAGTTCCGTTGTACTTGGGCTAAGTCCTGTATGGGTTATTATCATGCTATTTGTATTTAAAATGGAGTGCAACATGTTTTTTCATTTCATTAATTTATTTGATAATTTTATTACTTCATTAATTTAATAGTCAAAAAGTCAAAAGAAGTTACTCTCCTATGAAGTAAATCTTTCTTTCTTTTTCTTGATATGCTCATATCAAGTAAATCTTTAAGGAAGAAATAAAGTATTGAGTCCATGATAAAGGCAGTCACTTATTCTCAAGTAATTTCTAAATAAATGGCAAGCATCAAGAAAGTTACTCGCTAACTGCTAAGTAACCTCTAAGTAGGTTAAAAGTGTTAAGAAAACTGCTCAATTGATAAGTAATGTCTAAATAAGTAACAAAAACTTAGGAAGTTACATGCACATTAACTCCCTATATAATCAGGACAAGAATATGTCTTGATGATGACAACAATGATAATGACATGCACATTAACTCCAAAATGTAAATAAGAGATGCATTATAGTCATTTGGGAAGATGAATAAGAAATAAGATGAAAGTTTAGTTGCAGCTTATTCTTCTTGTCCAGGTTGATATAGTTCCTTATTCTGTCTTTTTTTTTCTCTCTTCTTTTTTCTATTGCCGCTGCTCTGATTTTTCACTCACATTCTGTTACAATCCAGCAGCTTAGTTTAGGTACTTCATCATCATCATCCATACCTTATCCCAACTATATGGGGCCGGCTACATGATCTTTTTAACCCTGATGCCAACACAAAACAGCCTACAACTGATCAAAAGAAATAACTCAAAACAACCTATGATGCCTTTAAGATTGTGAATCATCTAGTAACCATCACAGGAAAAAAAGATCGGTATTATTAGCAAACTGCAGATGGGAAATTTCTAACTTTTTACCCCATCCAGCTATACCCTAAAGCCTCAACCCAAATTTCTGTTTTACTAATCTTTTCTTTCTTGATTGGTCCTTGAAACTGTTATTGATGATGAAATGTAAATATTGCAATATATGATACAAATTTCAAACCCTTGGACTGCATACTGCAGATCCTCCTATGTACTCTTAATTCTCTACTCTAGAAGTGTTGTATCCAAGTATATCCCTTCCCTCGAAGCCACATACCTTATCCACAAGTCTGCCAGACCATTTGTTGATCTTCTAATCCAACAAAACAGAAGGTTCAGGAATGCCATCAGTTATCTAACCTCTCTTAAGGTGTACTAGTACTTCTATGGACCTCCTCTATTTCCTTCCATTCATCCTTTAACAACATCTAAATCTCCTTCAATTTCCAATTATCACAATCAAGAGTTCTTGCTTTTTTTTATTTTTTTGATCAGTAGAGTTCTTGCTATTTTTAGGCCTAGCAGCAAAGAAAAGAGCTCAGCTGTAATGGAATCCCCCCATCCTGTTGGGCCAGAGTAGACATACAAAATTGCACCATCATGATCTCTAACAATTCATATACTTGATTCGCAAGGGTTGCCCTTTCAGTCAGAATATCCTTCACTTTGAAAGAGGATGCTACTGCTAACCAATCTCCTACAATGTCAACCATGGTGAAGAACTTGAATTCCACCAAGGTACTTACCCAGTGTGCAACTCTTATGGAGATTAGGTCAATTACAGCTCTGCCTTTATATTGTTTATCTGAAAAATCCTTGCAATTCTTTCTTCGCAAATAGTCCTTACTCTATCCCTCTTCGTTGGAGGTGTGCACCAGTTTGCATCAAAACTGTTCAATATCCTATGGTGATATTTAACCAAATCCTAAACAAGGCAAAAAAGGTGCTTTTAAATCCTTGAAAAAAAAAAGATATTAACAGGTGTTGAATGGTTTCTCCATAAGAATTGCAAGCAGTAAAAGAGCCCAACTTGGCCTCTTGCATTGAATTGAAGCATATCACGGGTGTTGATTTTCTTATGCATCACTCCCTAACTAAAAGCCTTAATTTTCAGTGGAGTAGGGCCCAACTTCTTTGTTACTCATTTATCTGCCCAAAACATCCTAGTTGCCCTGCACCTTGATAAGTATTAAGTATAACTAGTTAACTAGTGTGGCAACTTCCATAAGATAACATGTTTCCTGCATCAGTCTCCCAAACTGTTCATTGCATCTATTAAAATGACATGATCCGTTGGCAACTTTCTCCAGAAGGATGCTTTCTGATAAATTCCAAATGACAGAGCAGTGCTTTCTACCATATAGTCAATCACCAGTTGCTGTTCAGAGTTGCTTTGGACACACAAATATGGATTAAACCTTTTTCTCTCCTTTTCATCCATTCATCAGTTGCAATTTTGAAATATCTATTTCCTCATGACAACCTGGCCCTACTCCTCCCCTCTAAAATAAGCAAAGAAAACACAAAGGGATTCTAAATTCTAAATCTACATTTAGAATAACATAAATGGATCCCCCAAGTTCATCATTATTTCAGGTCATATCATAAGACAAAGACAACAACAAACGTTACACAAATAACAAATAGTTGAGAACAGAAACACCCACATTATAGAAAAGGCATATATATTCACTGGCACGCACCTGGTACAACTTTGGGCGGATCCTCCTTCCCATCAGGAGTATATGCATACCTTTGCCCCTTATACCAGACCAATTGCGGTGGCTTTGGTGCATATAAACTCCCTTCTGGCAAATTAATATAGAAACCAATAACATCACCTTCAATATACCCCTCTTCTCCATACTTCTCCCTCAGGGCCTTGTGTATCTTACTCCCATCGATATCTCTATAACCAAAACTGTTCCCATCATACCCCACTGGTGCCTGCAAATCCCCCTTCTCTGTCGACCACCCGAGCCTCGTGTGCCCTGTTTCGCCAAGCTTTACAACCTTAATTTCGAAATACCACGCCCCCTCCACAACCCCCCTAGTTGCCCTAACCATCCGGTATCCTTTGGTGCTCCCCGCAGATAACCTATCATCACTTAGTTCAACTTTCTCTGCCTTGTAAACCTTGGAAAGACAAATTTTCATTTCAGGGGTATCGTCATTCTTGTCAGGGAACCGGGCAATTGGTGTTATTAGAACAGTGTCTTCATTAGCAACATTATGGGCATTGGTTTTGCTCTTCTTTTTCGACTTCCGTGTCGATTTCGTCCAAACATTGTTGTTTTTCTTCTTCGGCTTCTTCACCGCCGTCGTTGGTGCAGCAGCCGTTGGCTGGGCAGGTGGCGTTGCTTTTGGTGCTGCTTGTTCCGGTGGCATTGTTTCGGGAGCTGGAGAATTCAAGGAAGAGAGGGGTTTTTGTTTCTTCGTTGGGGGATTCTCGTCTTCGTCTGAAGCTGCAGTGCGCTTTGGTGATTGTTGTTCTGGTTCTTGCCCTTGGGGATGTTTTTGTCGGGGTTCTTCATTTTCGTTGTCACCGTCAGAGATTTCATCTTCGGAGAGCTCTTCGGAGTTGTCATGTAATTCTTTTACGCCGTTTTCCTTGTTATCTTCAGGAGGAGAAGTGGTAGTGGCGGTGGCGTCGTCGCCGGTGGTAGTGATGGTGGCTGGAGCAATGGCCTCTTGGTCTTGATCGATATTTCCGTTATTGTTCCAATCATCGTCATCGTCGTCGTCGTCGTCTCTGTAAGTGGCTCTCAAGCTTTCCATAATAAAGGCGATAGAGGATGAGAAGAGCGACGGTGAAGGACTAGGAGGGGTTTGTTAACTCTTAGGGTTTATGATCCAAAAATGCCATTAAAGTTCGTTCCTTTTTTTAGTTCTCAGGGTTGGGGTTCCTATCCTGCCTCTCCACCCCTCCAGCAGGGAGGAATGCGAGGAAGACGATACCAAAAGGGACTCGACACTCGAGCAATGCGCAGTGGGCTGGGATGCTTTCGTATGGACTCTGACTTGTCAAATGGACTTTTACCTATTGTCTCAAATGGGCTTGACCATAAATAAAGTAGACAATGGGTGGGCTAACTCTTGGGCTGATGAAGAAACATGGGCTTGGATCAGTTTGAGTAGATATATGATGGCAGTGGAGGATGGGGAGGGTGAAGGGAGGGAGATCCAGCCCCGGTCCCAAATCAATTGAAACTAGTAGGAACTACATTCATTGGTTATATCAGTGGTTATATAATGGGATATCACTTAAAATCATAAAATTTGAGAGAGAATAAAAATATGCAGGGGTGTCAACGAACCAGGTTTGGGTTGGACCCATTTAAATCAAAACCAATCTGAAGGGGTTGGACGGTCCAATACATACTAAATTGGACCAGTCTAGACTTAATGGTCCTATGTATTTATTGGTTAGATTGGACCTGATCCATTTGTAATGAATTTATATTGGACTAGGTTGGATTGAACCAATATCTGGTCAATTGATAGAAAATAAGAGTAGGGATTTCAACGGATCAGGTTTGGTTGGACCCAATTTGAACAGGTTGGATGGTCCAATAAAACATATTGAATTGGATCAGCCCAGTCCAAGATATTTCTGATTGGATTGGACCTGATCCATCTGTAATGAACTCATATTGGATTGGGTCGGCTTAAACCAATATCTAACCCATTAATAGCCCTACAAATAAGTTCAGTGCAAAACCTTGTGTATGGTATAAGATCATATACATTGTGATGAATCAATTTTTTTTTTTGAAGTATCAATTTTTTGTGCTAAGTACCTCGTCATTTGGTCTGATCTGGGGGCAGATTAGGTGCCGAGTTAACTGGGCCAAGCTAGGCAGGTTAGGTGCCAAACTGACTAGGTTGAGCTAGGCAGGTTAGGTGACGAGCTGACTGGGCCGAGCTGCCTATAGGTGCCGAGCTGGCCAAAGTGTCGAGCTGTCTATTAGTTTCCGAGCTTACCAGAGTGTCGAGCTGGCTGGTGGCGAGCTGGATTGATTGTTGAGCTTCATAGTTCTTTAGGGACCTGCGAGGAACCAATGTTAGAGGACCCGGGGTGGTTAACCCGGTGATGTCGCTTCGATGCTTAAGTCAATACTCTCATAGTAGACTACGAGCTAAAAATCACAAAGTATGAGAGCTAGAATGTGCTTACTCCCCCCCCCCTATGCCATTAGGGTTGGTGCCTTTATGTAGGCGTTGTTTGGCGTGGGCTTCACACACCGCATCCGAGATTTCATAGAGGTCGCCTAAGTGTTCCGAGATTCCCGAAGGCAACTGCCATGCACATTGACCACCCTCCGGATCGTTCGGCACGTGGGCCAATTTCCAAGGATCGTGGGAGTGTTAGGATATGCATACCGAATTTGTCGGCAAGCACGTCTCGCAGGTCGCCAGGTTGCGCCAGGGACAGGCTGCCAGGTGGGACACCATCAACTTGGCTAAGGCAAATTATTGCCAAAATAGTTCCAGATGTCATCTATTTGTTCCGAGGTACCATATGTCACAATATCATTGGATGGCCAAATTCGCCCTCATCACATTGTGCATTTTTTAATACAAGATAAGAAATCAAATAGACTGATCTAAATCAGTGGTTATTACGTTAGAGGCTCAGTTTAAGGGTGCAAAATCATTATAACACTTTTTACTCATGAGATCCAACATTTTTTTTATAAAAATAAGATGGTATTATATAAAATGGGGGACAGCACGTCCACAAATCACAAAAACAAAAAAACGTGAAAGACCATTAACGATTGGAGGCGTCGAGTCCGCATTACTGAAAGCTACATGAATCATCCAATCCGGTGCTTGGTTAGCTTCATGATAAACATGTATTGCTAACCTGGTCCAAAGTGCCTCATTTTATCGGGTCCATGTTTCTGATGAAATGTAATTTTATTTATGAAATTAAATGCTATTTTCTTCATTTTATCCATTATTTCCATCTTTGATTTTCTTTAAATAAAAATTGGAGAAAGAGACGCCTCATGACTACTGATTATTATTTAGTGGCTGAGAAGGAGGGGGATAATACAGTACTCATCAAATGAGAAAGGGGAAAATGTAGAAAAATGAAGGGGGGGACACTATTTAGTGGCTTTCCAAAAGAAAATTACTTATGAATTATATACATGCATGTATATTCTCAAATAACATGCCCTGGCCTTTTTTTGTTTGCCAAGTGCAGTGTTGTAAAATCTCATACTAGAAAATATAGGTTTAAAAATACAAAATATAAGACTCTGCATTCTATATATTTGTATTTGCACTCCTTTCAAATGGAGTATACAAATATATAGAGCGCAAAACCTTGTATTTTGTATATATTTGTACAGTATAAATTTGTTCTTGTACTCTTTCCAAACTGAAAAGATAAATACATAAAGCCAACAGTAACATCTTGTTGTTGCCCCTTGGAAAGGTGCATGATAGCCCTAGTCAATTGGAAACATGCATGATAGCTTCCTTAGGGTAGCATTATTGGATATAGGGCACTGAGTGCATGATAGCTCTAGTCAATTGGAAACATGCATGATAGCTTCCTTAGGGTAGCATTATTGGATATAGGGCACTGGCTTTGAAAATACATAAGGGGCCAATATGATGTATTATCATATTATGTTTTATTGTGGAAATTCAGCTCTTGTTTAAAAACAATTGGATTTAGGGCTAATAAATTTTGTCTCCTTTTGTCATGGTTCATGTAGGGGTGCAACTTGGGTGGACCTAGCCTGAGCCCGAACCGGCCTAACCCAGAATTTTACATACATTGGGCTTGGATTTTCGGTTCTCAGGCTGGGCTTGGGCCCAAGAAATCGGGCTTTTCTATTTTTCGGGCTGGACTCAGGCCTATCTCGAACCCGGCCCAATTATATACATTTATACATATATGTGTATATATGTAAATGTTGCATATATATTTACATATATATACATACATATTTGTATATATAACATTTGTATAGATATTTTGCATGCATATTTACATACATACATACATAAATATTTGTATATATATTTGCTTAAATATATTTATATATGTGTAATTTTAGAATGGGTTCATTGACCAACCCAAGTCCGCCTAGGCCCGGGCCCAACCCAGAATTTTACATTGGTTGGGCTTGGATTTTCTGTCCTCATGCTAGGCTCGGGTCCAAGAAATTAGGCTTTACTGTTTTTCGAGTTAGGGTCGGGCCTAGCCCTTAGGTAGCCCAAAGCCAGCCCGAGCTCGGCCCAATTATATACAATTATACATATATGTGTATATATGTAAATGTTGCATACATATTTACATATATATAACATTTGTATAGATATTTTCCATACATATTTACATACATACATAAATATTTGTATATATATTTGCATAAATACATTTATATATGTATAATTTTAGAGTGAGTTCATTGACCAACCCGAGTCTGGCTTGGGCCCGGGCCCAACCTGGAATTTTACACAGGTTGGGCTTGGATGTTCGGTCTTCAAGCTAGGCTCGGGCCCAAGAAATCGGGCTTTTCTATTTTTCGGGTTGGGCTCGGGCCTAGCCCTTAGGTAGCCCGAACCCAGCCCGAGCCCGGCCCAATTATATACATTTATACATATATGTGTATATATGTAAATGTTGCATACATATTTGTATATATAACATTTGTATAGATATTTTGCATACATATTTATATACATATATACATAAATATTTGTATATATATTTATATAAATACATTTATATATGTATAATTTTAGAATGGGTTCATTGACCAACCTGAGTCTGGCCCGAACCCAACCCAAGTGCATCAAGTTATAAGGCGGGCTGGGAAAATCGGGCTTGACCTCGAGCTCAATCCAGGTTTGGGCCACAAGCCCAAATTTTAGGGTCGGGCCTGGGTTGACAATAAACTCGGCCCAACCCGCCCGACTTGCACCCCTAGATCCATGCCAAGGCTAAAAACACCTTCAGTTGGTAAGCAAGGGAGGTTTAGTCTATGTTTGGTTTGAAGGAAAAAATAAGGAAAGGAATGGAAAGATAAGGAAACCTATACAAGCTTTGTAAAGCTTACCTTTCCCTACTTTTTCCTTCAAACCAAAGAAAGTTTTAATGACTGTAGCATATGATTTCTTTCGCATCAACCCCATTGGTTAGGTTCTACTAAAATGACATCCTGAATCAGATTATATCAAATTTTGATTGTGTCAATGTATTTGGTGTCCTCTATTTGAAAGATGAACAAATAAGTGGAAGACTAATTTGAGAGAGTTTCCTCTTCCAACCCCCTCCCCCCCCCCCCCCAAAAAAAAAGGTCCTATTACAGTTTAGGAAGGGGAGTGTAAGAGAAGACCACTTTGTGATAAAGTGTCATAGTTTGGTGTTTTGGCTAATCTCTATTTGTAGGAACTTAATTAGGCTTTTCTTATGATTCTTCACTAAGACTATGTACATGCATACCCTAACTCTCCATTTTTATGGCATTGGTTATTTGTTTCTAATTTCTGTCTTCCTAATTCACTTTCATACAAGACCTCTACCACTAATTGAATTTTTGCCTTCATTTATTCATTGTCTTAATTTGACTTGTATTTATCTTAAGGAGTTAGAGACTTAGAGGAGTAGAGAGTTTTAGTTCTTCAATTTGCTCATGGTATGTCGTGCTAACTTTAACTCTTTCAACCAATCAACTAAACTCATAGTGCAGGAGTTAATCTTGCCTAACCATGAATAGAATCAAATGAAGGCTACACAAAGACACAAAGAGGTATTTCTCCCAAGTTCCTGGTGAAGGTGTTAATGAATCCCAAGTCTCCGCTACAACCAGCCAAAGGCCTTACACAAAAAGAGTCAAATGCTACCTACAATTAGGGTTAAATTGTCTCCTAGGTTCCTTTTAGTTCCATAAGATCTATCAAGTATCAACTCCTATCTATGCAACCAAATTGATAAAGCCATCCAAATCTCTTTGACCAAACTACTAGCTAATATTACTTATCCATGTTGTGCG